TTAAGTCATTGGGGTGGATAATACATACAGGGTTACTTGACAATCTCTACAGTGTCAAGGGCCTTTTTTTCATGTCATCTCCATTACAGGAGAAGGTATGATGCATAATTGAATTTTGTGAATTGCTGACAGCTGCTGGTGGGAGCCCTGGCCCCCGGCCCCTGGGGTTAACAGTGTTTACTTTCTAGTAGACACATAGGATGAAAAATTATGCCGTTCAAATTGAAAGGCGATTTTTTCTGTCCTCAGTCAAGCAGCAGGGTTTGAAGGGCAGCCACTGAGAGGTTGTCATCGGTAATGACAGAATTATAATAGGACTTTTTTTATCATTTATTATTCATTTTTTTCTTTTCTTTCAGGAGGCTTGAAAGTTGGTGGAGTCTTTTAGGTGCCAAAACTTTTAATAGACATCTTATTTTGAGTATTTTTATTTAACTGTTCTGTCTTTTTTTAAAAGTCGGCGTGAAAAGGAAGTTGAGATTGTCATTTTTTCCTTGTCGTGACGTATATCAGAGTGAAACAGATTCTGAAATTATTCCACAATTAAGTTATTTATAATGGAAAAAGGTTCTTTAAAATAATAAAACGTTCTCAAGACTGAGGGGGGAAGAAAATTTTCTTTTTAAGCACTGATTACTTTAAAGGGATCCTTTGGGGAATCGAAAAATGGTTCCCAAAACTCCCTTTTGAAACCTTTATTTTTAAGATTGAATGTTTGATTCATTTCATTTTATTGTTTTCATCTTGCTTTCCCTATATGGTCTATGGCTGTCCTAACACACTTGCTGTTTTTGTGTCGCAACCCACCTTTTGAGATCTACAGCATGCACAAGGGATATTCTCACATGGTTCCTTGACTTTCAGATGTGCTTGAGAACTCCAGAGACTAAGGAATCAAGTTTCATGTCACCATTCAACACGTTCACTGATTCAAGCACATATCAGAGGAAACACTTATCTCTGCCCTGACTGCAGAAGTTCAGGTTGTCCCTTGGCAAGCTGTCGAGAGAGTTTCCGGTGTTGTCGGCTCACAGTAGAGAGGGGAAACATAGGGTTGCAGTGAATAATTTCAGGCTGACAGGCAACAATTAGGTGGGGTTTATTTGTTATTCTTGGAAGTGCCACAAAGGTGGTAACTTTCAGGAGATGAGAACTTTGTGCCTGCAAAGAATAGTGAGTTTAAGAGGGTTGGTTGGTGGTTGGTTGGTGGGTTGGTTGGGTTGGTTGGTTGTTGGTTGGTGGTGGTGGGTGGGGTGGGTGGGTTGGTTGGTGGTTGGTTGGTTGGTTGGTTGGTTGGTTGGTTGGATGGATGGATGGATGGATGGATGGATGGATGGATGGATGGATGGATGGATGGATGGATGGATGGATGGATGGATGGACGGACTGTAAAAAAATATTGTTGGTTTTTTATTTGAAAAAAGTCAGTAACCTGGTTGCCTTAAAATTGTAAGTTCATTGAAATGTAAAAATTGAGTTAATACAATAAAGGAGATTGATTTAATCATCGGAAACTCAAAATATTATGTTATCTGAACTAAATAAATAAATTATGTAAGTTGATTTGACAAAAGAAAAAATGTTGTGATTATAAATCATGAACGTATTTTTTTTACTGTTAGTGATAGATAGATAGATAGATAGATAGATAGATAGATAGATAGATAGATAGATAGATAGATAGATAGATAGATAGATAGATAGATAGATAGATAGATAGATAGATATATTTTCACTTTAATTTCTTATTCAATTTTATAAGGCTCTAATTATTTTCCAACTTTAATATATGGGAATATTTGGTGCATCATACACTGTCAGCTTTAGTTAATTATTCATTGCTCTGTCATGCATCCTGCAGTGAAGCAGTTGTAACAAGCGTAGCAGTGTGTATCTAACTAAAATGCTTTTGGGTATCCCTCTGCCGATCCAACTAGTGGCTTCTTATCAGATGCTGCCAACTTGAATTACATCAATGTAACTGGAATTCACAAAAAGTGAAACTTCATGAGTGGTGAACCTCAAACTTCCTCTTCAAAAGCTCTCCAACACGACTTTGCTAGAAAGATTAATAAGTCAAAGGCGAGGGCTGTTAAAACAGTGGGCAATATAAAATCTATATGATATTAACTTTCATCTCCGACTTGGGATTTTTATAAAGGGATGATTGCAGGAGATTATCAGCCTACAATTTACCTTCATTTCTGCAATAAAAAGACACTCACTGTTGGCTGCATGGCATGGCATGAAAATCGAAATATTCTAAAAAATGTGAATGATGCCTAGCAACAATGCCTGAGTGTCGTGGTTGGCTGAGCCTGGTTAGTACCTGGATAGGAGACCTCCTGAAAAAACTAGGTTTCTGTTGGAAGAGTTGTTACGCCTGGTTCAGATTACACGATTTTAGCCCGATTTTGGCATTTTGATCCGTTTGACATAGAGTGTCGTGGGGATTCGTAAATGACAACGGAGTGTTTAGATTGTTTCATCTCGCATAGTGTGTCATAGTGGGCGACAACCTAAGTCGCGTCTGCGATGCTTCACAATATCACGACAAAAAGACTAACATGTTTAATTTTTTTAACGGCCGTCCACGACGGTTCCGTCACATGTATGAGTTTGACCACTAGGAGCACAGAAGCTTTTCCGTACACATCTTTCAAAAATGGCGAAACGAAAGAGAGACAATGGTGCTAACGTTAAAACTAAAAGTAAAAATATGTAAGAAAACATTAATAATAATTATTTAATTGTGTTGGGGAAAGTTAACAATAATATTGTTAACTTTCCCCAACACTGGTCGTGAGAGTGTTGCTATACCCCTGTAATATTCTGGTCTGATTTGGCTCAGATCCCTCCTTCAGTTTAAGTCTATGGGAATTGTGTTGTTGCCGTAACATCATATGAGAATACATCGAGAGGTGTAGCATTTATGATACATGGTGAATGTCCATAAATGCAGAACAGATTACAAATTAAAGTTTGTGGGTTTGGGTTTAGATCAAATGTCTGTTTAACACAAACAAGACACAAACACAAAACATCCTCGTCTAAGGGCCATTTTTGGTTAGAAAAAGCTGCAGTGATGACCTTTATTCATAAGTCAAATGTCCGGCCATGGGAGACTAAAGCTAAACTAATGGTGATGTTTGTGCTTAGCAAGCTCCAATCTTGTAAAAAAAAAAAAAAAGGCTTCTACCATCTGCACACTGTCATGCTTCAGTAAAATGCCATTTTCCGTTATAAACAATCGCTTATTTTCTTTAGAGATTTGACACTTTAGCAAAATGATGTGTCAACCGCAATACAAGAGTAATTTTTTGCCATTTTTCTAATGGCAGAACTATTAATTTTACGCGTACAAGTTTGTAATGATTTGCTGGGTTTTAAAAGTCTGCTGGAGGGAATTAGAGATCATATGCTGGCCTTTATTCACACCCACAGGACATCAGCAGCAGAAGAACCACCTGTGGAGACCTGTCAAAATACACACGCGCGCTAATTACTGTACCAGCGGTCACTTCACTCTGTCCAGGTGGCAGTAATTACATGAAAGAAGGACAATATGATAAAGACTAAAACACCTTGTGTGTATGATAAATGGCAAATAAATATTGTGGTCAGGGCAATCAAATGAGATCATATTTTGAATATTTGCCTAATGATGCAAACACATTTTTGATGCATTAATAAAACGGTATGCATCAAGCATCAAAGTGATCCCTACTCTTTTCTAAGATGTTTCTCGCTCGGGAATCGTTCCTCTATTATTGCTTCTACCTCTTTCATCACCTCCTCAGATCTTCTATAAACAGTAATCTCTGCACCTAATACAGTTGTCTTTTTTCCTTAGCCTCTTTTAAGTTTGTTACTAGTGTCTGCAGACTTTCTAAAAACACACAAAATGAACACGGATAAGGCTAACAAGCATAGTGACCCCCAAAAAAGTATTTGAACACTAAAATTGCACTTAAAATTATATGAAAAAATGACTGCATTATACAACAACACAAAAACAATTCTTGGAACATACGTTTTTTTTTTTTTTTTTTTGCAATATGGCACATGCAATGCAAGTTTGACATCATTATCCACCATTATGATGAGTCAAATTCTTCACTGTGAACAGCATATCTGTCGTTTTATTGAAAACTTAAAACCACTTTTTAGGGAAAAGTTACTTGAAAAATACCTGTATGCTATCTTTCTTTTTTTTAAAAAAAAAAAGCAAACTTCTGTGGTATGTTATTATTTGATACAATGACATTCATGCATTTGTTTATGTTCTTGTGCCACTTTGTCCTATCATACACTCTCAGAAAAAAGATACGAAAGCTGTCACTGGGGCTGTACCTTTTCAACAGGTAAACTTTTGTCCATTTTAGGTGTTAATATGTAAATTTTAAGTGCTAATATGTACATTTAGGTACTAATATGTACATTTTAGGTGCTAATACATACATTTTAGGTGGTAATATTTACATTTCAGGTGATAATTTGTACATTTCAGGTGATAATAAGTACAATTAGGTTCTAATATGTACATTTTAGGTTCTAATATAGCTAATATGTGCATTTAGGTGCTTATTTTAGGTGCTAATATGTACATTTTAGGTGCTAATGTGTACATTTTAGGTGCTAAAATGTACAACTAAGGTACCAATATGCAACCTTTAGGTACAAAAGTGTACCTTTTTGAAAAGCTACAGCCCCAGTGACAGCTTTTGTACCTTTTTTTCTGAGAAGGTGGTTAAATTTACCATGAAATCCAAATTTACAAGTTTTGTTTGTTATGATGTATTTATCGAAAAATAATTTATCCATGCACATGATATATATATTTTTTAAAATGTGTGTGCCCTCAAACTTTAATCAAAATAACTTTTCGTGGCTTAATTTTTTAAGTCGATTCAACTTATAGCTCATCCAATGGTACGGTAGAACAAATACTGTAAATACAACACAGTATAAAGGACAATTCTCTCTTGCAGTGACATCTCTCCTCTGACTGGTGTGAGGGCGGGACAACCTAACTATCCAATCAATTCCTGATTTTTTTTTTCTTCTTCCAGAAGCCGTTTCACTTCTGTCACAAAAGGAAGAAAGGAGTATCTTAACTTCCGTTTGCTGACTTTTATGGACGTGCTTCCATTGCATGCAGGCACATTTTCATTTAATTAATTCACAGCATGAAAGTGTGAACAGCTGCTTTCTTTATTCCTTCAAATAATCCATATGTCTATATATTTCTTTTCCGCATTCTTAATTTACATCTTATATGAGTGTTTTTTATACAGTTTTCTTTTGACTCTCATGTGAAATCTAATTAGCTTACATTCTCGCATGATTTACTAATATTTCTGTTTCTTTGCTTCTTCACCTTAGTCGCATTATTTTTAGAAAGCATGTGGGCTGTAATTCAGTATTTTTTCCCTTTGCAGTAGCGTTATGTTCCCGCTCCACATGGCCCACTTTCACTCTACTCTACTGTGACACTGTGTATGGAGGAGCTGCTCGATCCAGATCTCCACTTAGTCCACCAGCGCTGAATCCCTGGAAGAACTGACTGCCACTGAGGTCAGTTTATTGTTTTCAAACATCTATGCTTGAAATTATAATAGAAAAGGAGAGACGTGTTCATAGTGTATGATATTTGTTCTTGCATTTCTCAAAGGGCCTGTGTTTAAATGGCTGTCAAATACAATTTAAAGCTTAAAAAATTATTTGTTCAAAATGTAGGTTTTTTTTACTTTTCATCAAAAAAATGATCACTGTTTCCATAAAAATATTGCGAGACACTGAAGACTGGGGTAATACTGCGGAAAATTCACCATTGCCATCACAGGAATAAATAACAATTTTATAATACATTAAAATCGAAAACATATATTAAATTGTAATAATATTTCACAATTTTACTGTTTTTACTTTGTTTTTGAAAGGGTTATTATAGTTTAATAAACTAAAACTGAAAGTAAAACCATAAAAAAGTTTCACTTGAAATAAAATAAACATTATCTGAAATAAAATATTTTTTTTTTAAAAAAAGGTATGCTTATTTCATTTCAGCTATTTGCCAAGACAACATTTCTCATTTTTAATTTAGTTTAACTTGGTGTCCTGAAATAACTAAAACTGAAAATAAAATAAAAATAAAAACATTTTTTTAAATAATGCAAAATGACAGAAACACATAACAAACTTTATCTAAAATTAAATAATATTAAAAAATAAAATCTGATTCAAAATATGAATAAAAACTACTGTATAATAGTATATCAATAATAAAAATCTGCTCGAAGAAATTTCACCATTGGTTAATATAAGAAACTTCATTCAAACACATTAAAAATCTTTGATCACTTGTGTAATTAAGCTATAAGTAATTTTCTAATTTTAGGAGAACACGATTGCAGATAGATGACCTCAAATCTAATGGAAATGAACTACAGCTCAGGCCACAAAAGTTACTTTTGTTTTATTTTCTCCATCAGTGACATTTAGTTTTTCTCATAGTGACAGTTTTGAAAGGAGTGGTACAGTCAGAAAATGTCACCGCAGAGCCTTTCAATGTGGGCAGAGGTTGTTGATGCTGATATGAAATCAGTTTTATGGTGTTGTTTCTATAGCAGTGGTGATATTTTAAGACGGGTGGAATGATGTCTGACGCTGGTCTAGGATCAGTGACATGTCCACCCAGATGGACGCTGAGATGTTTGCTAAAGGGCAGGTCTCCTGGGATATCTGCCATCTCTCATCCTGCTGATGCCCTGATGCCCGAGACCACAGGAGAGGAAGAAAAATAGCACTGCTCCGTACAAAGATTTCTCTGATCATTTTCTGTGCACATTTGACGTCAATGTAGGTGTTGTTTAAAAACACTTTTATTATGAGAACAAAATGTAAAAGCTCTTAGACGATTTTTCCTGCTTATACTTTCCCACATTATATTCAGCACTACAATTTGTACTTTGCTTGTTAAAAAAAAAAAAAACTACTCAAACTCAACATACGACATGAGAACAATATTTGTCCTCTTCAGGGTTATTGCTCGTATCCATGTAAGACTTCATGGATGGCTGGGGGTTCTTTACTTGCCCAGAATAGAACCATAAATACCGCCAATCCAAACATTATGATAATTGCCAATCATCTTTGACCATAGTTGTCCTGAGAGAAGAGTTTTATAAGAACATCTTGTCCAATGGATTCTTTGGCCCGTTTTATCGACCAACAAGCAGAAAATGTAAGTCAGATTGCATAGAAATGAAATAGCACATTTCTGCTCAACAAACACATAGTTTGATGTGTCACAGGTCCAAAGCCAAACCCATTTTTTGGCTTATGGGTTGTTCAAATCACTAATACCAAGAATCAGAAACATTATATAATAAAAAGCGTGCAAATAAGGTACTTGACAAGTTTTATCTTCATTTTAGGATGTTGCAGTCAGTCCCAGTGTAAAGAGAACAAGCAAATTACATATTCAAATTGCTAGAGCTTACTCATTTGATGTCTCATTGTCATAAAATATTGCATAAAAACAAATTGATTTCCTTTGTGTATGTGATTGAGGGTGAAGCCGGGAAGCCTGTCAGAATGACATTCTGTTTGCCTTTATATGCGTGTTAGGAGAGATCGTGCATCCGTGCATTTGCTCTTAATTGTCCTTGTGAATAAATGTTTTCTTGAAGAGGAACCTCCACACATCATATTTAACTGAAGGTGACACATAATTCACAATTGGTTGGATGCTAGAAAATGTGATTTAAATTATGCAAAGACTTCTCTAGGTGCTGGGTGGTTTGGTATGCTGACATTTACTTGCTGACAGTATACAGCCAAAATGAGAAACCAGAGTAACTAACCAGGAACGTGCAATAAATATAAAGTGATGTCAAAGAGCAGAACTTCTCAATGCAGAATTCGGCCCACAAACCATTTATCCACGCTGGGTTATAAACACTTGTACTCAGCCAGAACCTCTCCTCCCACGCACCATATTTGCTATTGCATGCATGGGTAAGCATTCATCTGCCTCTACTTCAGCATATGCAGGGGATCAACCCAGCTTGCATTTAGGTCTTATTCTTTACTGGACAGCAAAGCAGTGTAAATGATTTTCTTTTTTTATGACCGCCAGCTTCCTGGTTTCTGCTCAGCAGATTTGTGCAATATTTCCCAGAATTATCCCAGTTTTTTTTTATATATATATATTTCATAGACATGCACATTTTTTACCTGATCCTCCTTCTGAAGACTTGTCAGAATTGGAATTGCATGGACTCTCCAAGACCCCTGAAGGTGTCCTTTGGTATCTGGCACTAAGACAATAGCAGATCCTTCAAGTCTTATAGGTTGCAGGGTGGAGCGGTCGAGGATCGAACTTGTTGGTCCATAAATGCTCAATTGGATTGAGATCTGAGGAGTTTGGAGGCCATGTCAACACCTTCAACTCTTTATCATGTTCCTCAATCCATTCCTGAACAATGTGTGCAGTGTGGCAGAGTGCATTACCCTGCTGAAAGAGGCAACTAGCTAGTCACGACTGTTTCCCGAAACCCACTGTCGCAAAGTATCGTTCAACCACGTTGGTTTCGCACGTAGTGGAGTAATAACTACTTTTAATGAAACTGTTTGAGATCCAGTTAACGCTAGATTTGTTTTATATAAATTACAGACATGCCATCTGAGGACTGTTTCTAATTGTTCTGTTATTTTGCTTTATTACAATACCAGACTCAATATTTGGCTCGTTCTTACATAGTAGAGCACGTTCGCACATGCGCACTCTTCAAACACGTTACTTCAAATCTTTTGAAAAACTAAAAGACGTAAATTACATTTGTATGTATTCTAAATAAAAGGCACCGCTTGTACTGATCGTCAGCTTGCGTATTTTGCTCAAGATAAGGATTTATTACCTCCAAATGTGATGCAATATAGAAACGATGCCTCTAACCACAGGTCGAGAGCTGTCGTTCAAACCACACAACTTTGCGATGCTGTTTGCGAATGTTCGTTGGAACGATGGTTTCGGGGAACACCGTCTCGTTAAACTATGCTCATAACGACGGAACTTGCGACCATAGTTGGCTAACGGTGCTTTCGGGAAACGCACCCCAGGTCCTTCCCATTTCTCCTGCATCCAACACGTTGGTTATGAGAACTGATCATTTTATTACCATCTAATCTACACAGACCTAAATATGTGGGTAACGCTTCCTTTTACAGTCCAGTTACCCATGTAAATACTATGTACTTATTTTAGTAACTACAAGTACTGGGTAATAACTAGTACTAACCCTGAACCTACCCCTAAACCTACCCCTCTTCCATGTTCTTACCTTATATTAGCCAGTACTTTCTAGGTAAGTACACTGTAAGTACACTGTAAGTATACTGTAAGTACTGTACTGTAAAAGGAAGCGTTACCCACTAGAAGAGGATCAGCAATACTTCTCCTGTCATAATGCTTTTATTATATTATATTATATTATATTATATTATATTATATTACATTTCCCCTTTTTGACCCTTAATTAAATGGTCCCAAACAGCACAAATGAGTCCAGTATAGTTTTTAATTACCCATCCATCAATAATAGACTCAATGAAAAAGTCTGCATCACACTGGGATTCTGGTGTTTAGGAATAATTGTATTTATCCATCTTTCTTCCTGATTTCCTCACCACATGTTCAAGAACTTTACATACCAGAGCATGTAATCGCGTTCATTAATCTTTAACATGTAACATTCTAAACATTTGTAAATCTTCTAAACTGTAAATATGTGTGAAATTAGTGATTTAGAAAATGAATATCTGAACAAAGCAGGTTTTATTTTGTGTGTTCTTTGGGTGATGTAGCCTACTACTGTTCAAAGCATGGAGCACTTACAACCAACATCCAACAGTCAAAACGGATATGGTTTCAGCTGTCCTGTAAAGATTTCTTCCACATGCTAGAGCAAATGTGTATGTGTGTGTGTGAGAGAGAGAGAGAGAGAGAGAATCTGATGTAGTACACTGCTAAAGGCAGATCCTGACATATCGATTTGTCTTGCATGTTGAGTGTGTGTGGTGTGTCTTGCATACTGAATGAATATGTGTGGGTTCATGCTGAGTGACTATTTATCCCAGCAGTGTCCACAGATATTGACCGGTGATCCTCCGACAAGCAAAACCCACCTCTGTTGTCCTCTATTTGTGTGCGTGTTAGTGTGGCGTTTGCTGGCCATTCTCCCTCAATATCATTGTGCCTTCTTCACATGAAAGCAAAGTAATTAGCAAGTTAATTGTATTCTAATTAAGTGAGCCCATTTCATTTTTCCCACAATGCTCTCTCTAATCATCCATTCTTTCTCCTTTTCAGTTAGAAATGGATGGACATTGTGCAACAACAATGTGATACATATGGTGAGTTATTTAATATTCTTCAGTAATACAAAAATCAATCAAAATCATTTTTTCATCATAATTTGTATTAAGGAAACTGATTATTGAAAGCTTTATAACTTTGCACCTAGAAGGATTTACTAAAAGGGTATAGAATTAACTCCATCTAGAAATGTCATAAGATTTTCTTCATAACTTCTGGCAGAGGAAACCCTCCATAACTTTACATGAAAGAACTTACAGTGCATAACTTAACACTAAGAAAATAATGCTATCATATAATGAGAAATCGAAGAGCCACTGAAAAGATTTTGTTTTGTTCAACATGTCCTTTCATTATAACCAACAAAGTGTAAACATGATGTAAACTAGAGATTGATTATTACAATTAAGACTTTATTATAACGAGAGTTTTCACAAGACTGCAAAAATCAGTGAGCTTGCCTTTTAGAGATGGTGATTATTAGCTTTCTGTTTATTAACCATTCACAATCTGAATTCAAGTTTAGTTTTTTTATGCTGCTGTACACTGTAAAGTTTTGGGATTGACAGATGCGTGATTGAGTCGGAAACTGCGATGACTGACAGTGATAACCAATGGACAGTACAGTTCGGCTCGCTTCGCTTTTCCATGGTACGACTCGGCTCGACACGGCATGGCTCGGTTCGCTTTAGCTCGGTTGCTTTTCCACTGCAGTTAGTACCGCTTTAAAGTGGGTGGGATTATAGACTGATCGATAACAGTGGTGGCTGTTACTGGCTATTTCAATCTAGCGGGTTTTGATTCTCGTGTCGATGTCTATTGGTTCAAATACAATGACGCTGGTACTGACGATTCTGTCTGACCAATCAGTGATCTGCAGTGTTTCACGTCACATTTAGTACCGGTACGCTACGCTTGGAACCTTAACAGACCAGGTACTATTTAAAGCGAGCCGAAGAGAGCCGTACCGTGCAGTGGAAAAGCGCCATAAAGTACTTACTTCAATGGTTTTAGCTCTGTGACTGAAATTGGTATTGAGAACCGCCAAAATTTAATTGTAATTTGTTAAATTACAGCGCTTGTCTGAAGTATAAAATCATTGGTTACCCGTAAGCCAATCGGATAACGTTTAGTTATGATGCGTGTTATTCACCAGTTTAGCCACATCGAACTTCCACCGTAAACACATGTATGATGCGAAAACGAAGCCATCGAGCGAAATACCGGCTGCCTCCTTAACCTGATCCTCCATGAGTGCAACCAAGGGGGACACAATCACAACTATCGCCTTGCTGGCCTTTGGCCTGCCCAGTTTCTCGCTGACAATCGGTAATAGTTGATAAATTAAACTTGATAAATTAAACCAAAACCTGTCAGGAGTAGGGCCACAACCACTAGCGGTGCCAGGATTTTGATTCACAGACATTCATAATCAAATCAATATCAGACTAGATTCTGGATGAATGAAGACTAAGAATCGATTCAAATCAAATTTTGATATATCAATGCCTACTAACAAATACTCTTCTAGTCAAGAGTTTAAATGTTTAAATTCTTGAAAATAGTTTTGAAGATAACTATAAATTGTGCCTATTTTCCAGTCTAAATTAGCTGTTGTTTTATTCATTGTAAAGAAAATGTTTTCTGACAGTTTTAATGTATGAACTTATTAATTCTGACACGCTTGTCATGTTATATAAAGAGCTCTTTAATCTCTGCACGCAGTTTTTTTATTTTATTTAATTCTTCACGTATGCTTTCCGTCAACTCTGCTGTCATAGGAATATGTAGCCCTGACAACTGATACACAACAGATACAGATACATGGCCCGACTGTCATCGCAGACATCACATGTGTGACTGCAGGACCCAGTACATGTTATCAGACACCTCATCAGACAGCAAAGGCATCATAGCAGGGTGACAGACTGATCTGGAGGTTAGGACAAGATGAAAGTGATGGACAATGTGGAGAAGAGACTTTACACAGCATTATACCTTCAGCATGGCATCTCTGATCAAAGCCTGAAGCAGTGCAGAAACTACCAAAGGAGACAGCAAGTGAGGCATAAAAGACCTTCCCAAGCCGACCAGTGTGTTTGTTACAATGCCATTTTCCCTTTCACTGCAGATCTGGCACACAGAGCTTTTGTATTATTCTACCACTTCCTCCAGGACGTGAATGAGCACTGCTGGCTCTGGCTCCGGTGATATACGGGACCAACTGCTTTATGGCCAATGTTTTCATTGTTAATATTGTCTATTGTGACATCCATCCAAAATATTTCAGTCAAAGGTCTGTGGTGTGTTATAAAGTTCCAATGCCAGCAGTTCTGTGGCACAGATTGGACCAAAGTCTGTGATTAAGTGTTCTTTAACTCAGATTCTGCCCTGGAGTATCAGAACTCGTTTGTACCCAAGAAGATCCATTATTAATACATATTAAATTATGCAAATAGAATTTCTCACATTCTAGAACATTCTTTAGGAAATGTGTCCAACTGTGTCTGTAATTTCCGCCAGGATTTCAATCATTTTGACTGATGAAAGTTTTATTTTTAGAGATCAGGCAGGATCATTGGTCTGTGGTAGCACATATCCTCATTTTGTTAAAGGGATACTCACTTTTTTTTTTTTTTTTTTTTGGAAATAGGCTCATTTTACAACTCCCCAAGAGTTAAACAGTTCGGTTTTACCGTTTTCAAATCCATTCAGCCGATTTTTTGATATTTAGAAGTATATCAGTAACCAGACAGTTTCTGGTCTTATTGACTTCAATATTATATTTTTTTCCTATGGAAGTCAATGAGACCAGAATCGATCTGGTTACTGATATACTTCTAAATATCAAAAAATCGGCTGAATGGATTCGAAAACGGTAAAACTCAACTGTTTAACTCTGAGGGAGTTGTAAAATGAGCCTATTTCCAACAAAAGTGGAGTATCCCTTTAACGATTAATAGCCTTGTTTTCGTCATGATTATGCTCTTGTGTTTAAGGACTTTTATGTTAAAGTATTTCTCTATGTCCACTTCCTGTGTTTAGTTCCGTTTTGCTTTGTGCATTATTTGTTCCCATAGTTACCCTTGTTTGTTTCCATGACGATTAATCACCTACACCTGTCTCATGTTAGCCCCTTGTTGTCTTGTTAGCTCCTCTGTGTGTATATAGCTTTTGTGTTTCCCTTGTTCCTTGTCAATCATTATTTTTGTTGCATAGGGCATTCTTAATGCATTTGCTTAAATTAAATTTATTTTTGTATATATTCATATTTTTTAACACGTATTTATTTGAGGCATAATTTAATGAGCAATCTACATTTTCTGCTTTGCTTATTAGTCTAAGTGATTTTTATTTGTATTTTTCCTTTTAAAAAATGTCACGTCGATTGTCAGATATCCCCTTTAAAAGGGAATGTAGTCTTTCTGGCATCTTATTTTCCAGAAACAATTTATGCCAAGGTAGCAAAACTATTTTTGAAAGATGACTTTGACTTCTGCTGACCTTAACCATTCATTTAGACCCTTGTTTTGTCTTCAGGGAAATGGTACTGTGTCTCTGTTTATATTAGAGCTGTCAATCAAACGGGCTCATCTGAACGGACATGGATAGGATTCCTGCGGAATTACCCAGGGCGATCCATCTTCCACATGTATGTTACAAAACACACACGGAGACAACAACATGATCAATACATTCAAATGTGTTCTGTTCTCTGGGCTGTTTGGATTATTGGAATAAGTACACAACAATCCAGATAAGATTTGTCTTTCTTCTAGGATTTCTTTTTTGCTGTAGTAAGTGCACAAAAGAATTGACTCAAAACTCTGAAATGGGTTTCAAGGACATCATGGCGTCCACTGTTGTTAGTGAATGCTGTTTCATCCTCGAGTAGTTTGAAAAGATGCGCATGAAACATAAAAGAGCTCTCAGAAGCTCAGCTAATGCACAGCACTGGAACACTGAGCACAAACAGATTTACAGACCTGCTGTGAAAAGAAGCATCTTCCAAAGAATAAACCAATGATTTGACATCAGATCTCTTCGTGATTTTAGGTTAGCATTCACTGACGGGGTGAAATAATGCTGCCTAATTTTGGTAACACTTTACAATAAAGTTCCATTAGTCTAAGGTGTTTTGGGGGTTCTTGAGATGTTTTGACATGCCCTGAAATTTGTGGGGCTTTTTTTTTTCCATTTGCTTATAAACATTAATGGCATAGGTGTCATTACACTCTATTTAGCACAAACATGGCTTCCATAATATGTGAGCAACATGTGAGTACATGTTTGTGATTTTAAGAGAATATTGTTTGTGCATGTTCATTGAGAAAAATTTAACTTAAAGTTTCTGAAATAAGGCCACAAAAGTGCTGTCTGTGCTCTGGTGTGCCCCGGCCCAATTTAACCTCTCATCCCAAGTATCATGTAAATATGCTGTGTCGCGACTGCCCCACAAAAAAATCTAACCTAGCTTATTATCTCACGATCTAAACTTGGAAAAAAAGAAACAACAACTTCCGCTCATGCCATCTAATGAATGAACAGCGAATTGTAACAGAAATTAATGTTGACGAAAATCATATATATATATATACACTAGATGTCGCCTTGGCTACAGCAGTTCATTAGAACGAATGCGTAAATAGGGCCGCCATCTTGGAACAGGGGAGCCCCTCCACTTTAATGCATCAACGTCAATAAAATCACCATAAATCATCGTGAATGTGATTTTCTCGGTTTTGTTTTTTTTTTGGTTCGTTCCATCGGTCAGACATGCTTTTATTATTGATTCCAGATTTTTTTTTTAACAAAAACATTCTTCCTAGTTCAGATTTCATTCTTGTGAACATCATACACAGCACGAAAGTCCGCCACCATCAATAAATTCGAAGTAAAGGCAGAGATAGCAGCTACTTATAGCGACTTCCAATGACAACACCCCTGTTCCAAGATGGCGGTGGTTTTGACGCATGCTTACGAACCCCAAGGTGACGTCTATGTATGTGTCTATGGACGAAAATAAAGAGATTTTTGGTTAGTTTTTATTTATGTTTTCACTATATTTTAGTCTCGTTTTTTCGTCAGCGATATTGCATGTTGATTAAACCACAGATTTATTGTCGTGTCGTCTTTGTCTTGGTTATCAGCGAATATTTTCCGTCATATGTTTTGTTAACAAAATTTACAAGATGGATGTAAAGAAGTTTTTATGCCTGAATGAAAAGTGGCATAGAATCAATCTAACATCAGTCTAGTGCAAATGCTGCTGCAAAACACGTAAGCGCATGAGGGCTTGTGTAACCTGAAACATATGTCTGCTCCGTAAAGTAAGGATTCAGTTAAATTAAATTCAGCTTTATTTGTCCCCTAGGGGCGATCAGTTTTGCTGCAGTAGCAAAGAAATTATGAAATACACGACAACAAAGATGACAACATCAACATCCATTAAAAATCCAGGATAATGGAAATGAAAACTACAACATTTAAAATGTGCAGATGTTACCTATTACCTATTATTAGAAAAATCGCAAAGAAGAATTTAAATATTTGTTTTAACTGGTGGCTGACTGACTGAAGCGAGAACCAGAAGGCAGTCTTAAATTCTGCATGCAACGGGTGAGAAATAATGTTAACAAATGTAAACCTTTTTTAAATAGCGTTACTCGAATTTTTAAAGCATGAGCTATTTTTTTCCTTCAGACACACTAAATAATTACTTTTTCCTTAAAAACTCCAGGCCAATCCATTTTAGCGTCTTTAGTATCCTCTTTTTTTCTCTCCTGAAACAGATAAACTCAGCAGTCAAAGCAATGAAAACTCAGTCTGCTCTCATAAACTGAGGCGTCTTGAAATAGCTATTGATTGTTTCCTGTGAAGCTGTGAAGAATTTAATCCAGTAAATGTACGATGTGCTGCAGTCGACGTTCGAGAAATAAACATTTCTGTTCCTCCAGAGGGATCCAGTCCACATCACACGGATAGATCAGAAGACATCGTAGGCTGGCAAAAGAAGTGGATATAATCAGCATCTTCCCTCAAAATATCTCACAACTTGGAAGTTCACTTCAAAGAACAACGCATGAATTAAATACACATGAAGATCAAAGCAATGAGGAGACAGAAGTCTGCAGGTATAAACCTGTCTGGTCCAGGGCAGCATCTCCGAATCCCTCTTTTTATTATTGCTCCCAGTGCAAGAGAGAGATCATCTGAGATAGATTTGGTGCCCTTTAATATCAGCAGCCATGTATCCCCAAATTCCCTCCAGTCGCTTTAATTCTGTTTGTCATCTTTTGGTAGGTTCGTGGGAAATAGGCCCATTTCTCGGAAAGCAAAGGGAATGGGCAGAGGTGATGGATGAGACAGAGACTGAAGGACTCAAAACATTTCAGGTAATGTGGTGTATGTTTTAGGAGGACAGGTGAAAACACTCTCAAAGGTCTTAAATGGAAAAGAAAGGAATATGAGACCGATATTAGGTTATAGAGTAGAGTTTAGGTCTCACAGCTTTATAAGCACAGAGGGTAACACTTTATGTTATGGTGACGAAATTAAACATTACTATACTTAGTACTTTATTTTACAGTCCTGTTTCTCATGTGCATACTATCGTCACGGTATTCAAAATGATTGTTTCCTTCTCGTCTCGTGTTTATGTTGTGGTTTGAGTGCATGCGCAACAGAATTTTGTGAGATATAACAACACATTCTCACCCCAAGGCGTCACCTTTGACCATGCTTCAATATTTGACGTTTTAGGCGCCCTTTAGCGTCACTTACATGACGCGATCCTACGGCGTCATCTAACTGACGCTAAAGGAAAGCGTCAGTTAGAGGACTTGGTTAGGTTTAGGTATGGGGTGGGGGTAGGGTACACGCGATCCTAGGGCGTCATCTAACTGACGCTAAAGGGCGCCTAAAGCGTCAGATATTGAAGCATGGTCAAATGCTTCCCAAGGCGTCAGTTAGGTGACGCCTTGGGAGTGAGAATGGGCTGGATATAAATTCGAAATTATGAAAAAAAGGTCAGAATTGTGGGATTAATCAGTTACATTTTTTCTATTCCATGCTGTAAAAGTTTATATAGACCATTTCACAAGATGTAAACAACACTGGTCCAGAAACACTTCCTGTTTCAGTTTGTAACTGTTTTCTTTATTTCACAAATAAAGAAAACATCTTAAAGATGTTTGTTTAACTTTTGGTTCAGTTTTAAATGTTCTGTTGGTTGTATTTTATCCCAGCTTTTATGTAGTGTTAAAAAACTGAAACAGGAAGTGCTTCTGGACCAGTGTTGTTTACATCTTGTGAAATGGTCTATAGATTATTTTATCATTATTATTATTAAATGATGAAAGCACATAACAAAATTACTATTCAGTCTGTTCCTTTATCTGACTTTCTCACACGACGTCCTTTTCTGCTGGTCATGAATTTATCATCATTGGCTCTGAAAAATGTCTCTTACACTGAAGCCATTACCATCATCTAATTCAATTACTGAGCTTCTATCAATCTGTGATTTACATCCCGGTATAGACGTCACATTGAAGTTAGCGGCTTGCTTTACCCTTTATCACAAAGTAAAGCTGAGATGCTAAGCATGGAGCATTGCCCTCTCAGGCGGAGATGTTCTTTATGTCCCATACACCATGAACTAATCTGTTTGAGCGAAGGACTGTTATTTTCTTTGTCAGGTAGAATCTATTCTGAGGAGTCGGGATGAATGTGTGCTATGTGCTGCGGAAACTGAGCTCCCGTCTATGAAGGTTCAACAGAGCAGCAACAAATTATCTCCACACTGTGATTTCATGAACATGCCAATTAAAGTGTTGCTGGGTTTAGTTGAGCCAGTGGTTAGTGCAGCACCACCAAACTTAAAATACTAAATTAATGAACATGAAAGGGCATGATTTGTCTTTGGTGGCTCTTCAGAGAGGTTATGAACAAACAAAAAAGCCATCAAAAGTGGAAACCACAATTTTTAACTTGTTTTTTTTTTTTTTTTAAGTCAGTTTCTGTTAACCCCCTGGGGTCCACGGTATCGCCGGTGATACCAGCTCACAATTTTTTGTTTTTCGCAAACCACGCATAAAAGTTATTATCTCAAAACTACAAAATTGTACATACATGCTGCTGACATATTATAGTAGCAGAGTTTGTGCTGAATACAGTGTAATAATACTTTAGCCATGAAAATGTCACAAGTTACAGAAAAAAGCACAAATGTCAGAGCATGTCAGAACACCTCCAGGACCCAGAGAACACCTCAGACCCCTAAGGGTTAAGGAAAATCCTTAAAATCTGGCTTGTCCAAGAAAAAAGATGCAGTTAACTGAATAAAGAATAAACTAAAGGCAATAACAATTTGTTGTCAAATTCATGGCATAAAATTGCCAGTTAAATAAAAATACTTGTCCATACATTTATTTTATTCACTTGTTATTCAGCAGATATAGCAAAAATATGATAATATTGGAATTTTAGTTTGGATTTTAAAAATGATATCGAAAAAAATATTGTTATTAAAGACCATTTTGCACTATGTGTTCGAAACCAACATCAAAACCATTGCATCTTTGCATTTTGAGACACAGAGATACCAACCATGTGACAAATAGCCTCAGTCACACTGTATGTCTCATGGTTATGGGACTGAACAATAAAATGTAAGTAAACCCCAGAGTAAAGCAGAAAAGTATATTGGTTTCAATTGACTGGATCAATGGTTCTAGACTACGCCCGTGTGGAACAACCCTGTAAGTCAGATTTGTTGTGTCTGGAACATGGAAACATAATCTACGAAATCGTAAGTGCATGTTAGTGAGAAGGCACCAGAAAGCCATAGACTGATCGATATTGCTGCTTACTGCACTGAAGCACAATGACAGCATGCCAATGTTTTGCTCATACGCAAGAACCAGCAGATGTTTTGAGGGATGGGTGGAAATTCAATCCTCTTTTTACTGGATTCAACAGCAGAGAATATTGGGACCTGCACAGATTCGATTGGATGGCCTAATTTTGAGGAGACGCTACGCACGAACAAAGATACGGCAACTCAGATGAAGAGGAAATTAAATCTCAAAGTTTTGGAGGAAGATTGATTTTCAAGTTCTTCGTGTACTTTTATTGAGAGCTGTATAATATCAAAGCAATAAAAAAGGCAAATTCCTTTTCATGCAAAAATAAGTCATATAACATCCAAATTGCACAATTACCATAATTGCACAAAGAATTGCACAAAAAAGAGAAAGATTAAATTCATATTTAAACCCAGGAAACCCATTTACTGTTCTCATCAGGATATCACACTTTAAAATGTATTAATGTAGATAGAGTTTATCAATGATTATTCTCAAAACATAAATCAGATAATTAGGCCTATTATCTGACAAAAGCAAATAGTGCCCAATATAAGGGTGTCAGTAAATCAGGATGGATTATGACCAATTAAGATGTAATGTCCAAATAATGGGAAATTACAACGCTAATGACACAAATGCGAAGAATTAAGTATTACATCGTCTGGTGTCGTTTTTGAAGCTGCAGAACCAATGAAGTCCATTATATGGAGAAAATCCTGGAATGTTTTCATCAAAAACCTTAATTTCTTTTCGACTGAAGAAAGAAAGACGTGGACATCTTGAATGACATGGGGTAAGTAAATTATCAGCAAAAGTTTTTTTTTTAAAAGTGAACTACTCCTTTAAGAGCAGAATTTTTGATGAGAAACTACATTACCCATGATGCTGTTCAGAAAATTCCACCAATCAGAAAGTTGCGGCGAGCAAATTGGGGCAAGAAAAGATCTTACAGGGATCGCCCTCTCTTCATGAAGCACCGCAAATGATGTAAGCAATTTGGTCTCACTACGCTGTGAAAATAAATACATTCTGTGTAAACGGCCACTAACAAGACATAAGGATGAGTAAATAACAGAATTGTCATTTTCGTGTGAGCTATTCCTTTAAATAATAACCGCTGGTCTTTGATTAGTCTGAAATTTGAACATCCCCGCTGAATGACTCTCAGCAGTGTTGTGATGTGTCAGCCTTTCCACTCCAGATTGGCTGCTGTGCTTTGTTTAGTGCCCCATTAGAAGGAGGCGTCTGCTCCCACCGAGGCCCGAGGAAGATGGATTTAGTTATTATCGCCTTTCTGCCGGTGCAATGTGAAAAGACTCAGGGAAATCAATGGGCTCTTTGGAAAAAGGAAAAGGCAACACATCTGATGTATAATCAAACCAAGACATCATCTAATTTATGGACCTTCAAGTTGTGTTTCTTCTTGTTCTGAAGTAGCACATTTCAAAGCTTAACCTTCAAATGGTCTTCGTTTCCTGTTTACACTTCTGGGCTTCGGGGTCTATACGACCCCAACAATTGATTGAGTAATTGTATAAAAAATATACATTTTTAATCATACAAATAATATATCATTTTTTTTGTTTACTTCTCATCTATTCATTAATGCTGTGTTTTTGGAGATATAAAGTTCTTTTGTATCTATATACCACACAATACCTCAACTACACCATTAGCTTGCATATGAAATATATTTTTTATGATACATTGCATTTATGCTCTAGTACTAGGCCTTCATTTCTGTGTAAAAATTTTCAGATTTATGCCAGATTTTTTTTTTTTTTGACACATAAAGAATATATATAAAATATATATATTTATTTATTTTATTTCCCATTCATTTCAATGTGGGGTCAAATTGACCCCGAAGACCAGAAGTGTAAAAAAAAAAAAATTACACACCTTCAGAACAACCGAATGAATTTTTTTTTTGTTTTTTTATTGTGTGTGTGTGTAGTGTATGAAAAGTCACAAAATCTTATTCCACTGAGATGAAGGGAACCTTTTTTTTATTAAGTAAAAGTCGATTGAGGTCGTTTAGACCCCATGACCCGATTGAGGTTGAGGGCTACACGCACACTTATTCTTTCTATATTTTGTCCAGTAATTTTCCAAATTCTGACTTTCACTAAGTGAAAGCCGAGTTCACTAAGTGCTTGATGAGTTTATGCTGGATATTACATTTCCTATAATAATAATAATATTAATGGAATAAACAGTGCCTCAAAGATGCTGGCAAACACTATCCATGAAAGAGGTGTAAAGGCGGCATACATAATTGGTGGACAAACTCAGTTACCTGTAATTACTGTGCTGGTGGTCATTATAACCGCTCTTGTATGGAATAGCTGACTCTGGACTGTGTTGTTAGTATTTAAATATTTCTAAAAAAAAAAATGTAAAAAAAATATTATATTTAAATATATCTTTAATTATTAAATGAGCTCTTAATTTTCAGCAATTCAACGTTCCAGCGTCAATTATGTCTTAATAGCTCTGGCAGCGAGAATCAGAATTCAACAGTGCTGGTATAAATCAATCAAGATCATCAAGAGCATTTTAATCTTGAACAAGTTGTCCTCAAGTAAACCACCTGATACAGTCTTGTTATCTTCACAAACTCTTGAGTCTCACACCTGACGTACTTTAAAAGAATAACAGCACTCAAGACAATGATCCTGATATGAGCAAAGCATTTGCTTGTTTCAGCATTTTAGTGTTTAAATGAAGAAATAGTGCTTGTAGTTGAAGATCAACACTTTCTGTTGTTCTCTTTTCTGCAATGCGACAGCTTCTTTATCACACGCTTACAACAAAAAAGTCTTTGAAAATGGATGCTGGCAAGATTTTGTAGTTTATTTATACATTTAGCTGCCGCTTTTATCCAAAGCGACTTACAATTGCTATGTCAGAGGTCGCACGCCTGGAGCAACTAGAGGTTAAGTGACTTGCTCAGGGACACATTGGTGTCCTTTTGCCTGAACGCAAATTTCAAAAGTGTCACAAACTATCCTTTTAAAGTCTCTTTTTCCTTCTGATGAACCATGGAAATAATACACCTGCCATGTGCCCTCAATAACGTCTGTGTTCCCACACATAATCTTTCAGGATGTGAGTGGATATCAACGATGAACAAGCTCCAGAAAAACATATTAGCTAGAAACAATACCTCTGTTGTTGGCTCATAATAAAAAACTGCCCGCTTGTGGGCCTCAATCTATTTGACCTCGTATATTGACTATAAAATGGTATTGAGGTATTGTTGCTATTTGCAAAATGGCAGATCCCTGTTACTTTTAGTTAGCCTCTGTGTTTAATGGCAAGCATTGAAATTGTAATCGGCTAGAAGAATGTATAGCCTATGCTCTTAGGTGCAAATCACGCACGTCTGTTTTCTGAGGTAGCCCCAAATTATGCACATTTATAAAAATGAACAAGTGCTGTTTCGTGGTGGACAATTAGATTTGCTGCAGTGAGCTGCTGTATCTGGGCAGTTAAATGCACATGGCGTTGTTCCCTCATAAGAGACCACCAGTATATGAGGCTGATGCAGCAATAAACACTTTAACCTTGGGAGACCTTCACTCGCAGAGCGATCTGGAATAAATTAAGGCGTCTCTCTGACGCCCTCCACAGGCGAACACGGAACTGCAGCTAGTTACATGAACATTCAGAAGGGATGCGTGGAGAGGATGGTAATGGCACACCGGCCCTAGACAGAGCCTGGAATACAAAACATGCAATCACAGCAGGATTTTTCAAGTGCTTATGATCATTAGAGCCTGTGTTGAGAGAGAGGACTCTTACTCCAGACTAATTAAGCTTGGAAGAAAGATTAAATGGCATGGATTGGATTGTGAGACATCATCATAATGACCAATAACCATTTAACCTTAATGCAACATACAAGACCGGTCAAAAGTTTTCTTATATAATAGAAAGCCATTGTTTTAAAATGTAATATTATTGCACAATACAATTTTGTTTTCTGTATTTGTGATCAAATAAATGCAGGCTTGATGCACTCTAAACAATGCTGGGTTGTTTTAAACCAGAATTGGGTAAAATATGGACAAACCCAAATGTTGGGTTAAAAATGTAATTGAAAATTTTAACCCAACTTCAACTTTCACTTTCAACTGTACATATTTTAATTTGGACATTATTTGACATATGGACATTAAATTTGGGTTGAAATAACCCAGCATTTTTTAGAGTGTGTGCATTTTAGAGATTTTTTTTCAAAAACATTAAAAATAGTTATGTTTCAATTTGTTTTGACCACCACTAGAGTTTAAAGGACAAACTGAGATACGTCAAATATTGTAGTGATGATACTGAAGTAAAAGTCATTTGAAATGAAATAAAAACACTAAGAATAATAATAATAACATTTTAGCCTATATTGTTTATTGCATATACATAATAAATAATTATTGTAAAGAGAGTTATTTATTTAATAATTAATGAAAAAATAAAATCAACAAAATAATTTGATAAATTTACATGAAACAACGGTTTGCCCCACATCAAATTACAGGCAAGGATTGATTGTTGTTAAAAAAATATCTTGTTATTTGGAAAATTGAGATTGCCTGGTTTCACTGAATCGCTCTATATTATCAATATAGACCATTTCACAAGATGTAAACAAGACTGGTCCAGAAGCACTTCCTGTTTCAGTTTGTAACTGTTTTCTTTTTTTCACATGTAAAGAAAACATCTTAAAGATGTTTGTTTAACTTTTTGATTCAGTTTTAAATGTTCTGTTGGTTGTATTTTATCCCAGCTTTTTTGTAGTGTTAAAAAACTGAAACAGGAAGTGGTTCTGGACCAGTGTTGTTTACATCTTGTGAAAATAGTTTGTCATTGTCTGTAGAATATCTGGTGCCGGATGTTTGCAGCCGCTGGGTGTCGCTGTTTGTGTTTAGTTCAGTTGAACTCAGAGCCGTAGAAGAAGACGAGTGTGTCTTTCCTGTGTCTTCAGCCTCATTCCGCGCATCAATAGTAGCATTTTTTTTGCAATCATGTCTATTGAAATAGAGTCAGCTGAGTAAGTAAATAAAATTGTGTGTTTCAAAACATTACGTAAATGCATAATTGTGTAATTTAAACGAGCACCATTTTTGCACCGTTCAGGTGTTGGGTTGTTTCTCTAGCTAACTGTGTTAGCATTATGAGGAGATTAGGTTTTGCCCAAAGTGTAACAGTTTTTCTCTTTTATTTTTTGGTATTTAAAGCATTTCTGCTCAGCCTGCTTGGTCTTTTGTCCGGTTTTAGTTGCAAATAGCTCTAGAGTTCTCTGTTTTTATTTAATTAGAAACAAACAAACCATATCATGAAATACCGTTTGATTTATGCGATTTTAGAGGAAAAGTTGAGTGTTGTATTGTAAACATCATGGGTGTCTGTTTTATTTATTTATATTTTGGTGAAAAATTCCCCATTCACATATGAGTGTGAGCATTGCTTATGACTTTCCAGACAAAACTAATTCAGCTCTCTGCAGAAATGTATACACTCATTATTGTAAGTAATTCTTACTGAAATGCCCTTTTGTCATGTTTCTCCAGTGTGATCCGTCTGATCATGCAGTACCTGAAGGAAAACAACTTGCATAAGACTTTAGTAACACTCCAGGAGGAAACGACGGTGTCCCTCAACACGGTGGACAGTATTGAGAGTTTTGTGGCTGATATCAATAGCGGTCACTGGGACACTGTACTTCAGGCTATACAGTCCCTCAAACTCCCTGACAAGACCCTCGTTGACCTTTACGAACAGGTGAGAAGCAGAGAAAATCTGGACTTTTATAAGTCAGTTTTATAAGTTTAGAACCTTGATTGATCACTGAATAATTATTGGACACATCATAAGTGTTTTTTTTTTGTTTGTTTTTTTTTTGGTCTTTTTTTTTTTTTACAGGTCGTTCTTGAGCTGATTGAGCTCCGAGAGTTGGGAGCTGCCAGGTCTTTGTTGAGGCAGACGGACCCCATGATCATGCTTAAACAAACCCAACCTGAGCGATACATCCACCTGGAGAACCTTCTGGCTCGCTCATACTTTGACCCTAGAGAGGTGATGGATCTGAATCAATGCACTGAGCACAATGTGTGATGACTTGTTCATGTGAATGCACTTTGCTCTGAAACACCCAACACTTATTTAATTAAATCACAGCCTTTTGCAATTTGTTAAATCAGTGTCATATCAAAATTTAGATTTCAGTTGACAGATACTGTAGAGAGCTTTTGTATTATGCAGTGTTGTGCCTGAACGCGTTCAATGAACGAGTTCATATTTTGAGCAAACGTGAACTGAACGTACTGTATTACTGCCTGAAGAACATTACTAATGTTTTATGTATTTGAGGTGCGGAGAAGAGTGACTCCCCATTTATTGTCGAATCATACTCCGTAATGTCTTAAATAGCCTGTGCATTTAACTTCATGAGATTTTGGCAAAAAACTGAGCAGCCACTTAGCTACTATGAACTTTATAAGCTGTAAGTTGATGAAAACGTAATAGCCTCAGATACAGCCATTCTTATGACAGAAAAAAAATAGGTCTGATATTCGTTGGTTAAAAAATAACTTTGACGACACAGTATTTAATTATTCAAAAAAAGTTTTTATTTTTCATTTCCTGAAAAGTAGCAGTTTTGAACAGGCAAGGTTTCCACCTGACAGCAACAATAGTCTCCTCCATTCTGGATGATTTGTGACCTGCTATGTTTATTTGTAGGCCTATCCTGATGGCAGCAGTAAGGAGAAGCGTAGAGCAGCCATAGCTCAGGCTCTCGCTGGAGAGGTCAGTGTGGTACCGCCGTCACGTCTGATGGCTCTGCTTGGACAGGTGAGCAAAACTCTTAAATTCTCTCTGAGAATTACTCTTAAAAGAATCGTTTATATTACTAGACCATCAATACTTGTCTGTTTCTCTCTCTGAAGTCTCTGAAGTGGCAGCAGCATCAGGGTCTTCTGCCTCCTGGTATGACCATTGATTTGTTCCGAGGTAAAGCAGCTGTGAAGGACGTCGAGGAGGAGCGATTCCCCACACAGCTGGCCAGACACATCAAGGTACAATGACCAGCTTCTGTCCTCAACAGTTACAAGAGATGAATTTGTCACTCACCTTTTTGTTTTGTATTTTGTAGTTTGGTCAGAAGTCTCATGTTGAGTGCTCACGCTTCTCTCCTGATGGCCAGTATCTGGTTACTGGATCTGTGGATGGATTTATTGAAGTGTGGAACTTCACTACTGGAAAAATCAGAAAGGTCTGTGAATCTACCCTGAGACTTATTCATCTGCATTTGTAATAACGGTTTATGTACATGTTTTTATAATGGATCATGTGTCTCTGTTGGACAGGATCTGAAGTATCAGGCTCAGGATAACTTCATGATGATGGATGACGCAGTGCTGTGCATGTCTTTCAGTCGGGACACTGAGATGTTGGCCACGGGAGCCCAAGACGGCAAGATTAAGGTCTCATACACACTTTATTGAAATCGGACAAAAAATAAAACCATCATTATAGGGTTAGTTCACCCACAAAATTCTGTCATCAATTACTCACCCTCATGTCAAACCCACAAGACTTTCATTTGTCTTCAGAACACAAATGAAGATATTTTTTAATGAAATCTGACTTGTAAAAGATTGTAAAATAAATCCATATGAATCTAATGGTTATCTAAGTTGTCTTAAGAGACATGACGTGTGACATTCTTGTGTCTACGTAACACGTTTGAGCTTTCTCAAGAACCAATGAGGTTCATTCTCGTGTTACGCAACATGTTTGATCTTCTGCAAAAACCAATGTGGTTCATTCTTGTTTTACACATGTTTGATCTTCCGCAAGAACCAATTCTGAGCATGATAAAAATGTAAAAGTAGTTTTTACAGTAGGAAGGCTGATGTATTGATTATTTTGAAGGACTGATTGTGGCGTTTGTCCAGGTATGGAAGATTCAGAGCGGTCAGTGTCTGCGGCGGTTTGAGCGCGCTCACAGTAAAGGCGTCACCTGTCTCAGCTTCAGTAAAGACAGCACTCAGATTCTCTCCGCGTCCTTTGACCAGACTATCAGGTGCGCATCAGTTATCACTGTCCTCAGCTTTCACAAAAAGCACAGCGAAATTAACTTGTGTTTGTTTCTGTATAGGATTCATGGGTTAAAATCAGGCAAGTCTTTGAAGGAGTTCAGAGGTCATTCTTCATTTGTAAATGAAGCCACACTTACTCCCGATGGACATCACGTCATTAGCGCCTCATCTGATGGAACTGTGAAGGTAATGTTGTTGAAGTTATTACCAAGTCAAGTCTTTTCTCAAATCTCTCAAAGAGCCCCTATCATGGATTTTTGAAAATGACTGTTCACATGGTGTGGAATATAGCTCTAAGGGAATGAAAACATCCTGCAAAGAAAGTCCACCGTATATAAAGTTATCGTCTTTCAAAAGTGAGAGTCGACTCTGAGTCTATGAAATGAATTGTTTTTGAAACGAGTAATTAGCTGTAGGGCTGGGCAAAAAAATCGATTTTTCGATTAATCGTTTTGTAAAATGTGTTCGATTCAAAATCGATTCTCAACTGCCGTAATCGATTTTTCCATATAAAGGGCTCGCGGACGCGGTGCTGCATCTTCTCGTCTCTCTGCACTAGGCAAGCGCCAAGCGCTGCAGCTGTCGATACACACACGCGTTTAGGAGTCGGGACATGACGGAATATTCACTTAACAATCGGGCCAGCATTGCATCGTTACCTATGATCGTAACTAACGTTTATCATTTTCACGTCTTTTTGAGTTTTACAAGCAATGTTAAACCATCCCGTGCTCGCGCACTCTTAGAGATGTCTTTCACTGCGTGCACAGTAACGTTACAGCCTAAATCTGCCTCACAAACAGCTCGCCAGAAACAAAAGTTTTATCCCTGGATTATATCACTTTAACAGTTAAAACACGCGACATTATGTCAAAACTCTGGTCTTGGTGAATAACCTCCTAAAGACAGTCGGTAATGTCTTAAATTAGCATTAAACGTGTGTGACAGAAAGTTAATGAGACAGTAATGGAGTCGCACACTAGTTCTTAAAGTGAACGCAGCCATTTGTGTCAGTCATTAATTCTGTTGTCATAACAACAGAATATAGTATTAATTGTAAGCAATCAGAATTAATAGCCTTTGTATTTAATTCAGTCTGGACTAAAAAGACTATCCAGTGTTATTTTACATTGGATTACTTTATTCAGTTTCTGTAGTATTTCTGACATACGCAAAAAACTACCCCAAAATGTCTCTTAATTTGTGTCTTTATTCTATTGTATTTATTTGTGCTACTTTTTTCAATTTAATTCAAAGATTGAAATCAAGCTTCCATACATAAACTCTTAAAACAAAAATAAACAAAAAATTACATTACCATTTAGGTAAGATCAATGTAAAAAAAAAAGTCTAAATATTTATATATTTATTTATCTATATCTATCTTAAACATAAAATAACATGATACTGTTTGATCAAGCTGTGCGACTGTTCTGACTTTTTTTGCATATTGCATCAAAATCCTGTTTATTCTCTGTATGCATTTAGTGTACCTAAAATAAAAAGAGTTTTATATACAGGTTTATGGCTCTTAATTTCCTTGTATTAATTAACCACTAGTAAACTTATGTCCACTGTTCTTTTTTATAAATATAGGATTTGTATTACATCTTCATTATAGTCGAATCGAGAATCAAATCAGGAATCGAAATCAAATCGAACTGAGAGCTTGTGAATCGAAATCGAATCGAAATTGAAATGTGAATCGATACCCAGCCCTAATTAGCTGGTTTGTCGTGACGTAGATACATATTGGCCGCGCCCAGTTACTGCGCGCGCAGACGGAAGTGTAAACTTGAAGTCTACACATTCAAATACTTCATCATAGCATCATGTCGAGAAGACGCTGTGTTCTACAATGCAAACATAGTTCAGCCACTTTGTTTTTTTATTTACCAGGGACGAGCATGTGAAGAATCGGTGGTTAGAGTTCATATTTGCAACGATACCACAACAGTATAGCCCGATTGTGTTTTCATCATTTTATTGACGAATAACGTTAGTTCAAAAACATAAATGAATTCAAATGTGGATTCGCAAGCGGTTGTTCCTGAAGGAGGGCTCAGTAACTTACTTACCCAGTGTATTTTGATCAGCTTCCTCCTCCGAATCAAAACCTGTAAGTATTATTAATAATTTTTGCTTTTATGGGTTTTTAACGGTTTTGTTGCGTTGGGGCGCGAGGCAGTATGTGCGGGCGCGAGGCAGTATGTGCGGGCGCGAGGCAGTATGTGCGTGCGCGTGTATCTGTGTGTGTGTAAGTTACGCTCAGCGCAGCTTCTTGCGCGTGTATCTGTGTGTGTGTAAGTTCCGCTCAGCGCAGCTTCTAGGTCTCCAATGTCAATTTTTTTTTAAATATGTGAAATGTTTGTTGCTGTTATTGGAGTTAGTACTGCAGTGCTTTATCAATATGTTTATGCGTTATGCTAACAAACAATAACTGACTGGGTCTGTAATCTGACCAATCACCGCCGATTAGTGTCACGCAAAGGAGTGGTTTGTAAAAATGAGTCGTTGTACGAATCATTTGGGAGTCGGTGAGCAAATCAGTTAAAAATAAATGCATATTCTAAGACAAATGAAGTGTATTTTTATCCTTGCATGCATGTTAAACTGTTTTTGGAAACTCCTAAAACAAAAATAGGAACATTTCAAATGCTATGATAGGGGCTCTTTAAGATCTCATAAAATGGAAAGGTGAATATCTAACTTCTGGCTTTGTATTTTCTTTCTGCCAGATCTGGAACGTGAAGACCTCGGAATGCACCAGCACATTTAAGTCTCTAGGCACCTCCGCTGGAACAGACATCACTGTTAACAATGTCATCCTGCTCCCCAAAAACCCAGAGCATTTTGTTGTGTGTAACCGATCCAACACTGTTGTCATCATGAACATGCAAGGCCAGGTGAGGATGTCAAGACTCATGAATGCTAATGAAAGAGATGACTGAATTGAAATTTGTGTCCATGTGTGCATTATGAATCTCTTAGAACTCTTTGTGTTTGTTTTTTTTTTTTTTCCTGTTGCAGATTGTGAGGAGTTTCAGCTCTGGTAAGAGAGAGGGAGGTGATTTTGTGTGCTGTACTCTGTCTCCACGTGGAGAGTGGATCTACTGTGTCGGAGAGGACTTTGTGCTTTACTGTTTCAGCACAGTCACAGGCAAACTAGAGAGAACCTTGACAGTAAGTCCTCTTTCAGTCCATCTTTCTCTTCATTGAAAACAGGGTTCCCGCGGGGTCTTAAAAGCACTGAATTTATGAATTTGGAAATAATACATTAAATAGTCTTTAAAAAGTCTTGAATTTTGATGTCTGGGTCTTAAAAATTGTGCTGTATGTCAGTGTTGATTTCATTGACGAAAATAAAGACAAACTTTTCTTACTGTAGATTTAGAAAATCTAAAAAAAACTAAAATCACTAAAATCTTATTGTATTTCGTCAACTAAACCATGACTAAAATATGACTAAAAAAATCGTTTAGAGACAATAGAGACAAAAACTAAAAATTTGCTTTCAAAATTTGCCGTCAAAATGAACACTGCTGTATGTAACTTTTCCGTATTGTAATTTTCCTCAAGTTTCATTTGTCAACCATGATTATTATAATTTTCAATGTTTATTGTTCAGAGGTCTCTCAGTTCCCCATATTCCCAGCATGGAATAAGTAGCTAGTTAATGTTGAAACACAACATTGTTTGGTTAACTTTCTTGTGGCCTACTGAAATGTTTTTATTTTTCACACCTGCTCGGCTTATCTTTTACCCATTCCACATTTGAAATCTGGTAGGGACGTGAAATAGGTATTATTTTTTTATATAAATAGTCTTAAAAAGACTTGAATTTAACTTGAAGAAACCTGTAGGATCCCTGTGAAAAAAATCATATATATAGTGTATTAGTGTACAAAAGTATTGACTTAAAATATTTATTTAAAAATATATATTTTTGTATAACTTCGTATAAAACTTTTTTTTTTTCCAAAATATTTGTTTAAAAAAATCATATTGAACATGCACACAATGGTGCTGATTGTAGATGCTGATTTCTTGATCTGTCTTGACAGGTTCATGAGAAGGATGTTATTGGTATTGCCCACCACCCACACCAGAATTTAATTTCCACATACAGTGAAGATGGGCTCCTCAAACTCTGGAAGCCATAACAGATGTGGCGTCGATATGAGGATCCTGATTAGATAGAGCAGGAGAATACAATTACAATATGTTGCCTATTTTTAACCCTTTTTGTGTATATACCTGTTTTTTTAAGTGCAGTGGATAACTTTTTCATTTTTTTCTACAGTGTCAAATTTGGTTAATGGAAGCATCTGTAATTTATAGCAACAAGATTTTTTTTTTGATCCAACAATAATTATTTTCAATAGTTTTTTCTTGTCATTTATTTTTTTGTCCATTAAAACATTTAACTGAAAGTAGTTGTATCTGTTGAATGTTGAAACGCTAGAGATGTAGATTGTTTGAAAAAATAGCCAAAGCAATATTTGTGATTAATCTTAAGTGACAAAAATATGTTCATGTTAAAATACACAAAGACAGCAATTTAAATATATAATATTTTCATCACATTTGTTTTTCCTTGAATGAAGTTCAGTATCATTGATTGCAATACTGAGATATAAGATGAGCAATTATAGCCATTCAACATTAAAGGAAAAGTATAAACCAGGCCTAGATTAAAGCAAATATTAATTGCAGAAATTAAAACTTGACTTTTCAGATTAATGCAAACCGTTCAAATTTATTTTAACTTGACATTGGTTATTTTAGAATAGATTATGAGGCTTAATGACAATACCTTAAAATAATAGATTTGTATTAATGATAAAAAAAACTCTTTATACCAAAAATGAGATTGTAAACAATGAATAATTATATTAAATGATAATTACAGCTATCCAATCGAGCTGACAAGACAAAAACATTTTATAATCTTTAATTCATCCATAATGTACCATAAAAAATTTTATCTTAATAAAATACAATTATTAAAACAAAACAAAAAAAGGCCTAAGTTTCTCATCTTGGGAGCAGTCAGGGCTTCTGCGTCTGAAGGGTGAAAAGGATGATTGTAGATTTAAAACAGAATGAAACATCCTCACTGAAAGTACAGAGTTACTCTTTACCTTGCTGAGGCACAGCGGGTCTCTGCTGCTGAAATGATGCCGTAATGCTATTGGCTGTTGAGTTAGGACCCGTGAGCTGGAGAAAGATGAAACATGATTAACAAGTGAAAAAAATGTCCTTTTGTAAATAAATAAAAGTACATTTTAGAACACAATTGTAAGGGTGGGAGAGAAATGAGACACGAAACTGAACAACATGATAAATAGATTTTATATATATATATATATATATATATATATATTTTTTTTTTTTTTTAAATGTAACATTCTCTGAGAAAAATCTGAATATTCCAATAACCTCAAGGTCCAAATAAAATAAAAGTTCCAATAACCTTAAAAATATTTTGTATTCAAACAATACACAAAAAAGTTCTGAGCTAAGCTGTTAAAACTGTTAGGGAGAGCCCGTGTGTGAGTGACTCACTGGAGTTTGGCCGTGCTGCAGGTTCTCACTCCAGATCTCTGGAAGGGCCGCCTCCATGAGCTGCAGCAGGACACTGAAGTCTCTGCAGGCTGCTGGCCGGACCGTCAAACTGGAAGAGCACCAGAGCTCTCAGCAAGCTGTGAACTTCCTCTGCAGGGTCAGACGATAACAATCATCAGTGTGAATCACATGTTCAACACAAACACAGAATACAGCTTAATAATTAATATGATCTCATTCATGTCAATTCTGTACAGTTTTAAAGATACATTGAGTCAAACTATGCCAAACGTAGCATTAAACTGTTACCCATGATGCCGGATTTTACTAGCCCGGCATGCCAGACCTGCATCAAGATGTTAGGTCTGGGAACTCATAATTGACAGGGCTCAATCTGTCCCCCCCCCCCCCCAAAAAAAACCGTAAGGAGTACCACTGTCGTTTTTTTTTGCGGGTCGAAATTTTGAGTTTCGATATCTCAGCTCTGGAAGGGTCTAGAGCCTCGCTTTTTGCACTCAGGTCTAAGTCTCATGGCCCTCTATCAGAATCCAGAGTTTTGAGAAGATTGGGGATACTTAATTTTTCGCCCGAAAAAAAAAAACGAAAGGGGTACCACTGTCGTTTTTTTTTCGGGTCGAAATTTTGAGTTTCGATATCTCAGCTCTGGAAGGGTCTAGAGCCTCCATTTTTGCACTCAGGTCTAAGTCTCATGGCCCTCTATCAGAATCCAGAGTTTTGAGAAGATTGGGGAAACTTAATTTTTCGCCCCCCCAAAAAAACGTAAGAGGTACCACTGTCGTTTTTTTTTTCGGGTCGAAATTTTGAGTTTCGATATCTCAGCTCTGGAAGGGTCTAGAGCCGCCATTTTTGCACTCAGGACTAAGTCTCTTTGCCCTCTATCAGAATCCAGAGTTTTGAGAAGATTGGGGAAACTTAATTTTCGCCCCCCCCCCCAAAAAAAAACGTAAGGGGTACCACTGTCGTTTTTTTTTCGGGTCGAAATTTTGAGTTTCGATATCTCAGCTCTGGAAGGGTCTAGAGCCTCGCTTTTTGCACTCAGGTCTAAGTCTCATGGCCCTCTATCAGAATCCAGAGTTTTGAGAAGATTGGGGAAACTTAATTTTTCGCCCGAAAAAAAAAACGAAAGGGGTAACACTGTCGTTTTTTTTTCGGGTCGAAATTTTGAATTTCGATATCTCAGCTCTGGAAGGGTCTAGAGCCTCCATTTTTGCACTCAGGTCAAAGTCTCACAGCCCTCTATCATAATCCAGAGTTTTGAGAAGATTGGAGAAACTTAATTTTTCGCCCAAAAATGAAAAAAAACGAAAGGGGTAACACTGTCGTTTTTTTTTTTCGGGTCGAAATTTTGAATTTCGATATCTCAGCTCTGGAAGGGTCTAGAGCCTCCATTTTTGCACTCAGGTCAAAGTCTCACAGCCCTCTATCATAATCCAGAGTTTTGAGAAGATTGGAGAAACTTAATTTTTCGCCCAAAAATGAAAAAAACGAAAGGGGTAACACTGTCGTTTTTTTTTTCGGGTCGAAATTTTGAATTTCGATATCTCAGCTCTGGAAGGGTCTAGAGCCTCCATTTTTGCACTCAGGTCAAAGTCTCACAGCCCTCTATCATAATCCAGAGTTTTGAGAAGATTGGAGAAACTTAATTTTTCGCCCAAAAATGAAAAAAAACGAAAGGGGTAACACTGTCGTTTTTTTTTTTCGGGTCGAAATTTTGAATTTCGATATCTCAGCTCTGGAAGGGTCTAGAGCCTCCATTTTTGCACTCAGGTCAAAGTCTCACAGCCCTCTATCAGAATCCAGAGTTTTGAGAAGATTGGAGAAACTTAATTTTTCGCCCCCCCCCCCCCCCCCCAAAAAAAATAAGGGGTAACACTGTCGGTTTTTTTTCGGGTCGAAATTTTGAATTTCGATATCTCAGCTCTGGAAGGGTCTAGAGCCTTTTTTGCACTCAGGTCAAAGTCTCATGGCCCTCTATCATAATCCAGAGTTTTGAGAAGATTGGAGAAACTTAATTTTTCGCCCGAAAAAAAAAAAACGAAAGGGGTAACACTGTCGTTTTTTTTTCGGGTCGAAATTTTGAATTTCGATATCTCAGCTCTGGAAGGGTCTAGAGCCTCCATTTTTGCACTCAGGTCAAAGTCTCACAGCCCTCTATCATAATCCAGAGTTTTGAGAAGATTGGAGAAACTTAATTTTTCGCCCAAAAATGAAAAAAACGAAAGGGGTAACACTGTCGTTTTTTTTTCGGGTCGAAATTTTGAATTTCGATATCTCAGCTCTGGAAGGGTCTAGAGCCTCCATTTTTGCACTCAGGTCAAAGTCTCACAGCCCTCTATCATAATCCAGAGTTTTGAGAAGATTGGAGAAACTTAATTTTTCGCCCAAAAATGAAAAAAAACGAAAGGGGTAACACTGTCGTTTTTTTTTCGGGTCGAAATTTTGAATTTCGATATCTCAGCTCTGGAAGGGTCTAGAGCCTCCATTTTTGCACTCAGGTCAAAGTCTCACAGCCCTCTATCATAATCCAGAGTTTTGAGAAGATTGGAGAAACTTAATTTTTCGCCCAAAAATGAAAAAAAACGAAAGGGGTAACACTGTCGTTTTTTTTTTCGGGTCGAAATTTTGAATTTCGATATCTCAGCTCTGGAAGGGTCTAGAGCCTCCATTTTTGCACTCAGGTCAAAGTCTCACAGCCCTCTATCATAATCCAGAGTTTTGAGAAGATTGGAGAAACTTAATTTTTCGCCCAAAAATGAAAAAAAACGAAAGGGGTAACACTGTCGTTTTTTTTTTCGGGTCGAAATTTTGAATTTCGATATCTCAGCTCTGGAAGGGTCTAGAGCCTCCATTTTTGCACTCAGGTCAAAGTCTCACAGCCCTCTATCATAATCCAGAGTTTTGAGAAGATTGGAGAAACTTAATTTTTCGCCCAAAAAAAAAAAAACGAAAGGGGTAACACTGTCGTTTTTTTTTCGGGTCGAAATTTTGAATTTCGATATCTCAGCTCTGGAAGGGTCTAGAGCCTCCATTTTTGCACTCAGGTCAAAGTCTCACAGCCCTCTATCATAATCCAGAGTTTTGAGAAGATTGGAGAAACTTAATTTTTCGCCCAAAAAAAAAAAAACGAAAGGGGTAACACTGTCGTTTTTTTTTCGGGTCGAAATTTTGAATTTCGATATCTCAGCTCTGGAAGGGTCTAGAGCCTCCATTTTTGCACTCAGGTCAAAGTCTCACAGCCCTCTATCATAATCCAGAGTTTTGAGAAGATTGGAGAAACTTAATTTTTCGCCCAAAAATGAAAAAAACGAAAGGGGTAACACTGTCGTTTTTTTTTCGGGTCGAAATTTTGAATTTCGATATCTCAGCTCTGGAAGGGTCTAGAGCCTCCATTTTTGCACTCAGGTCAAAGTCTCACAGCCCTCTATCATAATCCAGAGTTTTGAGAAGATTGGAGAAACTTAATTTTTCGCCCAAAAATGAAAAAAAACGAAAGGGGTAACACTGTCGTTTTTTTTCGGGTCGAAATTTTGAATTTCGATATCTCAGCTCTGGAAGGGTCTAGAGCCTCCATTTTTGCACTCAGGTCAAAGTCTCACAGCCCTCTATCATAATCCAGAGTTTTGAGAAGATTGGAGAAACTTAATTTTTCGCCCAAAAATGAAAAAAACGAAAGGGGTAACACTGTCGTTTTTTTTTCGGGTCGAAATTTTGAATTTCGATATCTCAGCTCTGGAAGGGTCTAGAGCCTCCATTTTTGCACTCAGGTCAAAGTCTCACAGCCTTCTATCATAATCCAGAGTTTTGAGAAGATTGGAGAAACTTAATTTTTCGCCCAAAAATGAAAAAAAAACGAAAGGGGTAACACTGTCGTTTTTTTTTTCGGGTCGAAATTTTGAATTTCGATATCTCAGCTCTGGAAGGGTCTAGAGCCTCCATTTTTGCACTCAGGTCAAAGTCTCACAGCCCTCTATCATAATCCAGAGTTTTGAGAAGATTGGAGAAACTTAATTTTTCGCCCCAAAAATGAAAAAAAACGAAAGGGGTAACACTGTCGTTTTTTTTTCGGGTCGAAATTTTGAATTTCGATATCTCAGCTCTGGAAGGGTCTAGAGCCTCCATTTTTGCACTCAGGTCAAAGTCTCACAGCCCTCTATCATAATCCAGAGTTTTGAGAAGATTGGAGAAACTTAATTTTTCGCCCAAAAATGAAAAAAAACGAAAGGGGTAACACTGTCGTTTTTTTTTTCGGGTCGAAATTTTGAATTTCGATATCTCAGCTCTGGAAGGGTCTAGAGCCTCCATTTTTGCACTCAGGTCAAAGTCTCACAGCCCTCTATCATAATCCAGAGTTTTGAGAAGATTGGAGAAACTTAATTTTTCGCCCGAAAATGAAAAAAAACGAAAGGGGTAACACTGTCGTTTTTTTTTCGGGTCGAAATTTGAGTTTCGATATCTCAGCTCTGGAAGGGTCTAGAGCCTCCATTTTTGCACTCAGGTCAAAGTCTCACAGCCCTCTATCATAATCCAGAGTTTTGAGAAGATTGGAGAAACTTAATTTTTCGCCCCAAAAATGAAAAAACGTAAAGGGGTAACACTGTCGTTTTTTTTTTCGGGTCGAAATTTTGAATTTCGATATCTCAGCTCTGGAAGGGTCTAGAAGCCTCCATTTTTGCACTCAGGTCAAAGTCTCGTGGCCCTCTATCATAATCCAGAGTTTTGAGAAGATTGGGAGAAACTTAATTTTTCGCCCAAAAATGAAAAAAAACGAAAGGGGTAACACTGTCGTTTTTTTTCGGGTCGAAATTTTGAATTCGATATCTCAGCTCTGGAAGGGTCTAGAGCCTCCATTTTTGCACTCAGGTCAAAGTCTCACAGCCCTCTATCATAATCCAGAGTTTTGAGAAGATTGGAGAAACTTAATTTTTCGCCCGAAAATGAAAAAAACGTAAGGGGTAACACTGTCGTTTTTTTTTTTCGGGTCGAAATTTTGAATTTCGATATCTCAGCTCTGGAAGGGTCTAGAGCCTCCATTTTTGCACTCAGGTCAAAGTCTCACGGCCCTCTATCATAATCCAGAGTTTTGAGAAGATTGGAGAAACTTAATTTTTCGCCCAAAATGAAAAAAACGAAAGGGGTAACACTGTCGTTTTTTTTTCGGGTC